ATTTATTGTCATTGTAAGTATATACACAGTATACCCATACAACGAAATTCACAGACACCCAGAGACCAGACACATGCACACACATAAAATTCCCCAAACACTCCCCACCCACTAAAAGTCCCCCACTAAAAATACAAACATCTACACCGCAGGCCAAGTAACACAGTCCAACTAATTATTCACTACTGGTGGTCTTTAAGCTCATTATTAATTTACCTATGAGTAAACCTCAATGAGCAAGGAGGCTCACTTTCGAAAAAAGTAAACCTTCATAGGACTGTGCTGTTAATCTACAATTTCAAATGCCCACTTGCACTGGAAGAACACTATAGAATACTGGTGGGGACGTTTTGGCCTTCCAAATGTTTTGGACTTTAACTCCCATCAGTTCCATTTAACACAATCATCAGTAAGGGGTTGTGAAGTCCAAAATGTTGTTGGGGGGAGGAGACTCACCATCCCTTCTATGGAAAAATAAGCCAATCCAGAATAAAGATTAGAAATTGGAATGGTACTTGTATAATAAAGGTGGACACTAAATCCTTGTATATTTAAATACAGTCTTTTTGCCTTACAGAGACAAACAAACATATTTAATCTTTATGCTTAATGTCTGTGCATGATATTGACGCAGTATGGAGTAAAATATATATGGAGAAAATACAGTACAATCATTATAACTATAATGCCAATATCTGAGATGTAACAAACCATATCTCAACACGTGGGAACTATTATTCTTAGGCTAACCTTCCTTATCGTATGACATCCTCAGTAGTACAGCCAGAACTTATACAAATCAAAAAGACAGAATTGCCTCAAGCAACAGATATTGCTGACATCAGAAATAAGACTTTAATACGGTAGATTCGGACAACTGAGGAAATGGAGCTGCCACTTAAAATTGGCTTTTCTCCACAAGATAAATGAAAACAAGTTGATACCTGAACAAGAAACACTTGCATAGACCTTGCCTGTGCTTCTGGAGATCCATTTTAACCTTGCATGTCTGAGCCAGGTTGGACTGTGAAGTTTTGAGAGAAACAGAGGAATACTATTTATTCTGTTAGTCTTCATCACCCTCCAGCAGCTTCAGAAGCTATCAGCCATTGGATCCTTCTGCCCTGGGACGAGAATGCCATATACTGCATTTTGATGATTTTGGATCGTACTGGCCTGGCTGCCTCTGGGTGGCCCAATACTCTGAGATGAGTGGCTACCAAGGCTAGGTAGGATCTTTTCAGTCGAGGCACCCACACTTTACAAGTCCCTCACATCAGTTCAACTGGCACCTAATCTGATATTTTTTAAGCATTAAAAAATGTTTAAAAGGAACGCCTACTCCTACCAAGAACTACCCGGATCACTCCATCGAGTCAGGGGGTGAGGCTGAGGAGCTGACGCCGAGGGAGACCCGAAAGGAAAAAAACAAGAAATCGGGCCTTCTCGGCGGTGGCTCCTCGCCTCTGGAACAACCTGCCCCCAGAGATTCGCGAGGTCCCTACGCTGGGTATTTTTTAAGGCCCATCTCAAAACTCGGATGTTTAAGCAGGCTTTCCCTCCAGATAACACTTAACCTTTTTTCTTTAACTATTTCTGTCATATTGCTATCTTGAAGAATCGCTTATTGTTTATGTCTGTTGTTCATTGTTTATTGTTGATATTTTTATTATATATGTGTGTGTGTGTGTGTGTGTGTGTGTGTGTATGTGTATGTGTGTGTGTTGTTGTATTTTTGCATGTTTGGAAGCCGCCTAGAGTGGTCATATTGACCAGATAGGCAGGGTAGAAATAAAATAAATAAATAAATAAATTAGGCAAAAGGATTTCCTTTTCCCACACTGCTGAATGTTTAGATCCCGGGGTTCGCTCCTGCTGAAGTGGCCATTGCTATTTTAAAACAGCTTTTACTGATTGTTCACTATTTTTACTGTTGTTTCAAGTATCCCAAGTGTGCAGAAACAGGTACTGAAATCCAAATACTACTGTATTTCAATTCCCATCAATCTTAGCCAAAATAAATAATGATCAAAATTTAAAGGCGCTACAGATACCTTCTAGAGCATAGGTTCCCAAAGTGGTCTATATGGACCCCCCAGGGGTCAATTTTGACTTGCAGGGGGTCCACGTCAGAGAGAAAGAAAATTGGCGGTGCACGAGATGTAAATGGGGGTCTACGTAAGATCCCACTAGGCATGATAAATATTTAGACAATCCGTAATTACACCAAACACAGATTCTGTGTACATAATATTATTTAATTAGGTACTATGTACTATCTATATTGGGGATGTGTTACATTCATGAGTAAGTTCATAAAATTATTGGTAAAATTGTATGGTAAATGTCAGTGTGTTGTAAATGGGATCGACAACATTTTGTCATTTCTCATTACTGAGCTATACGGGCACACACATCGCACGTGTACGTAGTTGTTTAGACTTTGCACAGACTTGTTTGATTCATAATTGATAAATAGGAATGTTAGAGACGTTCAGTTGCTTTCTACGTTTTGAGAAGAAAAGTGGCTTAAAAATACATTCAAATATATAGATAAAAAATAGGTAAAAGTCAAGTGAATCAAAGTAATCTTCTTTAGAAGTGCCTAAGAAAAGTAAGTACAAAATTGTATACATATTTTGTAGTTGTTGCAATTGCATAGGGGTCTACAGAAAACAAATAAGTCAGCAAGTGACCTACAGGGCAAAAAAGTTTGGGAACCTAGAGTGTCACAAGGTTTCCCAGCTCTGGGAAATTTGTTATCCACTTTGAGAATATTATTTTGCAAAGCAAGATAAATATGCTTCCAAACCTTTTTTTTAATCTGCAGTAAGTTCTAATGCCTTTGATGTGTGCACCAAACTGCAATCTTAACAGTAACTGCCCCCTCATCCCAAATTAGACTTGAATTTTGTTCCCTGGCAGACCTTCTGCATCTCTAAGAGCTTCAAACTAAGTAGGCATTCAGTGGTTCCCCCGCCCAGTACAAATGAGTAGTGATGTGAAAAGTGTGCCCTTCTGAGACTTCTATTAGGATTGCAATTGCTAAGAGGAGCCAAGCATTCTTCCCCTTCCACCTAAAAGCTAATCCTCTGCTAAGCAGATATGAAGCTCTCCACACACATAATTGACTGACATTTCTTTCTGTGTATGCCAGGTATGGAGGACCTTCGACCAGCCAGAGGTATATGTAACACCCAGAAGCCCTCCTAGCCAACGATGAGGGAACATGGGATTGTCCTCCAAAATAGCCAGAAGACAAAAGCTACCCATTCTAGGTACAGTATATACCAACAATCACCCCCTTAGAATATGAAATTTTGATAGTTAAATTCAATGCGTTCCAGCTTTTCATTTTTTTAAAAGCATAAATTAAGTTCCACACATAACTGCTAACCAAGATCAGCTATGCAAGCCCTAAGTAAAATCTTGTAATACTGGAGAGGCAAAAAAAACAATTCTAAATAAACGGATGGATAGCACACCTTTTGAGCTTTTCAGCAGGTGAGCACTACACCTGCTGAACTTTTAAGTGCAGAAAGAACCAGAACAATTCAAACCGCCCCTTCCGCAGATGTTATAGCCATGATCGTTGCAATTATTTCAGGTCCAAAACAAAAGCTGCAGCCTTGGAGAGCCAGCTTGAGCCAATTGTGTTATCAGGTTGCATTTCAAAGAGACGTACACTCAGTGGCTCGCCTTCTCTCCAAATACTGTACAGAGAAGTCAGGGGCTCATCCAGACATGTAAAGTCTGTACTGCGGGACTCTCAACATCTCCAATACTGATGTGACTGTACCGGAGCTAAGCCACGCGACTTCCTTAAGCCAAGCAAGTCCAGAATTGCCCAGACAGGCGTGTCTCGTTTGCACGCATACTGTAGCACTGGCGGCCAAAGGGATGGGAATCTGCGCTCGTTCAGACATGCGGGGCGACAACTTCCAAGAAAGAGAAACTAAGAAGCCACGAATCCCAGTTCTGCATCCCGGGGCAACGCGGGGAGCAAAACCATTTCATTTCTGGCTCCTGAACCCTAACCCGTTGACACGCGTCCTTGCTTTCCCTCTACTGTATTTGCGAAGAGCCGCCTTCCTTCACATCATCCCCCCCCCCGCCAGTTTCCTACTTTTACCTTATTGCGCGCCATAGCGCGGACCAAGGCTGCTTCCTCCGCCGCCGCTTCAGCACCTCCTCCTTCCGGAGCCCTGCTCCGTCTCATCCGGCAAGGGGAGCCACGGCCCCGCTACGGTCGGCCTTGGGAAGGAGGCCAACAGCGGCACCTCATGGCCGCTTCTGGAAAGAGGAATTGGGGAATGGGACGTGAGGGAGGAAGAGCTGGCCTTAAGGAGACGCGGCAAAAATGCCCAGGTCTTCCCCGCTCGCTCGCTCTCCCACGCGGATGTATCCTTATGAATTCCCCCCCCCACCGCGTCATTTAACAATAAAATGGAGTGGGAGGGAGAGGGAGGTTGAAGACGCCTCCGGTAAAAAATTTCAAAAAACAGTTATTAGGGATACAAAATGCAGAAGCGGGAGGTACCTTTAAAAATTAAGCTGATTGCCAGCTTTGGATGGTGACCCATCTACCTCAGGCCCTGTTCCAAAGGCTCATGGCATAGTTGCTAATGCCAGGCAAAAAATTATTTAAAGTGAGTTAAGGAGTGTGTAAATAGGGATTGTGGGGGTTGGAAACTCCTCCCCAAACAGCATCTTTGAGTTTACAGTATCTCACTTCTCTTTAAACAAAGGACCCACCAAACAGTTTGCATCATCCTCTCCCCAATACAGTGGGGTCTTGACTTGAGAACTTAATCCGTATTGGAAGGCGGTTCTCAAGTCAAAAAGTTCTCAGGTCAAATCTGCATTTCCCATAGGAATGCATTGAAAACCATTTGATCTCACTTCTCTTCAAACAAAGGACCCACCAAGCAGTTTGCATCATCCTCTCCCCAATACTGTAACTGTGTTTCTTTTGAAACTCAAAGTAGTTTCTATTCGGTGGGAGCAGGGAAAACGACACAGTCATATGGGATTTCTTCTCCAGAGTTTTCTGACCAGAATTTTAATTTTCCAGAGATGTAGCTGTGTTGGTCTGTCCCACCATGTTGGCAACATGAAAGTGAAAAGGAAAAAAACAGCAGTCTGTTGGTGGAGCAGAGGCCTGTCGCAAAGTTAAGGACTCAGCAAATTGGGTATATGGCATGAGTCCCATAGATTATTTGTAGCCCATAATCCCATCTCATGAACTGTTCCAAAGGAGTTCCTGATATAATAAATAGCTGTCTTCACCCATGTTTGTAAGAAATCTGTCTTTTGAAGGTGAGGGGAGGCAAGAGAAATAGTCATTCTTTTTTTGCTACAAAAAGTACAACATTGCTGCCCTTATAGAAATTTTTTGTCAGGTTTCCCCCTGCTTTCTCTTCCTCTGTCAAAGAACTTGCTGTATTTTATGTCCTTATGGAGACAGTTCTGAGTAACAGGAAGATTTTGTATTATAGCTGCATGGTAGTGTAGCTATTTTAATGTGCAGCAGAGCAGATCAACATTTAAGACAGTTCTTAAATTGTGGGCAGGCCAAACCAAAAAAATATTTAACTTTGAAATTGGGCTTAAGATCAGCACCAAATTTGGTACAGGTATACAGACAGTCTGCTCCTGATCTGTGCCAAATTTGGGGAAGTTTTGGTAAAAGGTTTTTGAGTTATGATTTTTTTAAAGTAAAAATGTTTTACATCGCCCCTAGGAGACCCTAAAGATCCCCAAGTTTAAAACAATTCAAACAAATTGAAAAGACCAATCTTCCTTATCTTGAATCAGAGCAATTGGCCCCACCCCCTTTAATACGAGAGAATCCAGGCTGCAGACTGAAATACTGGTCTGCAAAAAAGGCCTTTCAAAAGAGAAAAACAGTGACTTTGTTATAAACTGAGAATGTATGGAACAGGCTTACCAGCAAGAGTATTATAGGGTAGAGCGTTGGAGCTTCATGGGGGAAGGTTGGAAACAAAAAGCAGGTTTTCTTTAAAGAATTAAAAGAAAAAAAATCCCTAGACTTGCTTTAAATAAAGTAATGGAGTGACATTACTTAATTTTACATAATTTTATCATTATCTCAAGGAATTAGCATACAATTTTGTAAGATACTGTATACTCAAACTATTTCTGCATTACAAAATCATAGAGCAGTTGTGTTTATCCCATCCTCAAGTGCTTCCAGTCAACATACTATCAGAATTTCTGAGAGCAGACTTTTGAGACAAGTCTTCAAAGAGGAAATCAGCTCCAGGACTGGGGCAATCTGAGATGTGGTCCTGTCAGTCAAGACCCAATTAGCTTGAGGAAAGTCTTCAAAGAGGAAATCAGCTCTAGGACTGGGGCAATCTGAAATGTGGTCCTGTCAGTCAAGACCCAATTAGCTGACTTTCAGGATAACTTTTTAACTCCTTCCTGGTCAGACAGACAATCATGCTTACATAAAGATTTTATATCTTGTAAAAATATTTTTAAAAATAGAGAACAAATATGCAGAAACTCACTCATTTAATCTGTGAAAGTACTTGGTATCTACCATAAGTAATACTTATGGTATTGTTTGATGTTTGCAGAGCATCGGTGCCTATATGCTGTCATAGATTCAACTATTCCATATGTCTTGTCACTAAGCAATTGTCTGGTAATTAAGGAAAAAACGCAAAAGATGTTATGTGCCATCAAGTCACTTCTGATGGCACATTACTATATGAGTTAATGATCTCCAAAATGTCCTATCATTAACAACTCTGGTCAGATCTTGTAAACCAACATCTGATATTAAGTTGTTCTCTCTTCCTGCTCCCCCCCCCCGGCAATATTGCCTTTTCTATTAACTTCTGCTGAGGTCTTGCGAACTAACAGCTATGGCTTCCTCTACTGAGACAATTTCTCTGTTAGGTTTTTTGTCCTATGCCCAGAAATATTATATTTTCTGGTCAGTTCTGTATGTTCATTATATGTGCATGGTAGGATAGGCTCAGTTTACTCATTTTTGCTCTATTGTGAGTTCAGGCTTGACTTGATTGAGCATTCACTTTTCTGCTGTCTGTGGTATCTGTAAGACACTTTTTCAACAGTACATTTCAAATGAGTTGGTTTTTTGGCTCTGTCTTTCTTTACTATCTTTTTTAACATAGTATGGATGATTTTGACCTCAGTTTTCAGTGACAATTTTTGCCATCTTCCAGTTCTCCTTTTTCTTCCCTAAAAGGTGAAGGGACATCTTTTAGAAAACATGCACACATGTCCATAGAGCTTTTGATCTGATACAGCTTTTTTTCCCTCAGACTCCCTACCTGAGGGTTTAGAAATTGGAAGATAGCTTTCAAGTCTGCATTCTGTAGAATGGTCATAGCAATATTAGTTTATCTGAGAGGTTAAAGGGTGTTTATGTTTCTTCATTGTGTTGCACCTACAGTTTTGCTTCACTATTTCATCGAGCCCAAAATATTTTGGTACAGAGGGACTACAGCCACATTCAGGCTATTCTTGCTTCTGTCAACCCCCAGCACCCATGTGCTTATCTTTTGGGACCCTCTAGCAGTGGATAATTCTACATGAGAGAAGTTTGTGTTGGAATGTGTACGCAGTGTATGCATACTTAAACTTCTGTTTTAAAAAGCCATGAAATTCAATTCTTCAAAAATTCTGGTTTATGAATTTGGGATATTGTGCTTCTGTATCTATAATTCAAAACACCAGATAATGCCTGCACTGCCAGCAGGTAAAAGGATGTCAAGCTTTACATAGCAAAAGGCAGCCTGACTAAAATTCCCAGAAGAGAGAGAGAGAGAGAGCATGTGTGCGTGTGCACAAGGATGGGGACAGAGGGAGGTTAGACTTCCATGAGTTATTTTGGGGAAACTCATGTTGTCTTAGAAGTCAGAAATAGGATTCTGGCCATTATGTTGTCACAGAATAACATGGGGACCATTTGGTCCTTGAAATGTTGAATCGCAAGATGAATCATGTCTCACAATTGGCGATGCCGGCTACAGCTGATGGAAGTTGCAATTTACCAACATTTGGGAGTAAATCTCACTGGACTCAATGCTGCTTTTTTCTGAGTAGACATGTATAGGATTGCAATGTCATAAATAAAATATGGCCTTTACTGTGAGTTGTATAAGCTCCTGCTACACATTATACATCAAGAAGTCCAAATTTGCTGCAAGATGTAGCATTAGGTTTGCAGTATTGTGCCCATTTATTTAGGAGCAATAAACTCAACTGAATTCAATCAGACTTTGGAAGCTTCCTTAGGATAGTGCTGGACATGGCCACTCTTGTTTCGTCGTTTAGTCGTTTAGTCGTGTCCTACTCTTCGTGACCCCATGGACCAGTGGAAGCTTCCTTAAGATAGTGCTGGACATGGCCACTCTCAGATGCTTGTTAATGAAAGTGTTCTGACAAAAGTCCAGCATAAACTAACATTTAAAACGTACAATTAAAATCTTATCATGCAAATAGGCAGTACGTATGAACACTGTAACAAGGTACAGTCATAGCACCATCATTTACATTAAAGGAAACATTACAGTCATCTTCTCCCTGGCTCCCACAATGCCTTCAGAGAAGAGATTAGGATTAGGATCTCACACTAGTTCTTGGATTTTGTTTCACACAGATTACACAAGCATTTTCTTCCTTCAAGTCACCTGGTGGAACATTGTCAGAATTTATTCACTTAACACCTGTATGGTGTGTGGGTATAACAGCAAACACGTATTTGTCTCATTCACAGCTTTTGATTAACACACACATCTAAAAAATTTAGGCAGAGTCCTTAAAATATACTGAATGATGCTCTAATCCAGTGGTTCTTAACCTTGGGTTACTCAGGTGTTTTGGACTGCAACTCCCAGAAGCCTTCCCCACCAGCTGTCCTGACTGGGGTTTCTGGGAGTTGCAGTTCAAAAGCATCCGAGTAACAAAGGTTAAGAACCACTGCTCTAATCATAGGTGACTTGTGACCAGGGTGAAACTGTAGGATGAGGCACCCCTGGATGAGGTCTAAGCGTTATCCTAACCCTAACATTAAAATGCTACATAGAGGTTTGGAGAGTTTGTACAGGTAATGAAATCAATTAATGAAAAGACTCTTCACCTGAAAGTATGAATCTTAACCGTTCTTCTAGACCAGCCTTTTTATTTTAGCTTTTCACCTACAAAGCCTGGCAAATCTTTGATGCCTGCATTTATGATAGCCAGCAGAAACTAATGAAACCTTCACCGCAACATGGATTAATAATTAACAACACTCATTTACTGCC